CGGGGGAAGGAGAAGCAAGTGGGGAGAGAAGTTACAGGCTCCTAAACCTGCCCAGGTCTGTTGACTTCAGATTCACTTCTCATTGCACAAGACAAGGAGCTGAGGCAGGAAAAGTAGGTTCCTACCTCTGCCTGATCCCTGCTACTGCCCTGGGTGACAATGTCAGGGGGAACCCCAAGGCAGCTGCTTCGATTTTGTTCTTTTCTAGTATTTGGTTCTGGGAGGGTTTAAATATATATGTTGGTGGGTTTAGAAAAACGCCCCAGTGTTTTTGCAGTGTGGCAGAATGCAAAACGTCTGTTTGCAGGGAAGGGGAGGGTGGTGAACCAGTGTGTGAAATTGTTTAAAGTCCCCATCTGAAACTTTCCCTCTGCCCTTTTCATCCTGACAGGCTGGAAAATAACATCCAGGTTTCACTCCACATTTTCCCACCCTCCCTGGGGATAGCAAAGGGAAATGGCTGCAGCATAACAGGCACAGGTAAGCGATTATCAGGGAGCAGGTGTGTTTGGGGGTCCCTACCAGTGTCCCTGATTTCCCTCTCACGCCGGGGACTCTGCGTGCCCCTCCATCACACTTAATAAAACCACCAACTTTTTCTCCTCAGGTAGTTAGTGATTAGATGCTGTTCTAGTTCCTTGATAGATGAGGGCCAGTCCTCTATTGAGCTAACAAACAAGTCCATTTTCTCCAAACATCCAGACATATTTACCATTTTTTTTCTCCCCCCATCTCCCCAGTAAATGAGTAGTTTAATGACAGTCCCAGTGATTGCAGGCTGTGATTTCCTTTTGGTTTCACTTCCACTGGGTCTCTGGAGTCATTGCCTATTCCACTCTATCCCTGGGTTCCAATCCTATCCGCATAACCAATTGTTGAGGTTTTTGCTCTACATTCACTGCTGTTCTGACAGTTTTGGAGCTTTCTAAAACTAGAACATGGTGAGGGCTAACAAACTATTTATAGTTACCCACTTCGTCAGACGCATGTATATTCACCCACAAAAGCTTATGCTCCAATACTTCTGTTAGTCTATAAGGTGCCACAGGATTCTTTGTTGCTTTTTACAAACTATTTATAGGGACACTACATTCTCTTTAATGTGAAGCTGGAAGATGTGGGAAAGGCCCAGCAGGAAGAGTTAGAAATTACCCACTATGAGGAAACAGCCACATGTGCAGAGGTTTATCAAAGACCTACTACCAACCCGCAGGACTCTGAAGCCAAGAGTCACTCCAGAAAGTCAGGAGACAGGCATAGTTTCATAAGTTCTAAGGCCATAATGGACCATTGTGATCATCTAGTCAGACCTTCTGAATAACGCAGGCCATAGGACTTCCCTGTATTAATTTCTGATTGAAATAGAGTGGCTCTTTTAGAAAAACATCCAATCTTGATTTTAAAATGTCCAGTAATGGAGAATCCACTGCAACCCTTGATAAGTTTTCCCCAGTGCTTAATTACCCTCTCTGGTAGAAAGTTTGCACCTAATTTTAGTCTGAATTTCTATTGCTTCAGCTTCTAGCCACTGTATCTTGTACTTTTGTCTGCTAGATTGAAGAGCCCATTATCAAACTTCTGTTTCCCATATGAGTACTTGTAGATGGGGATCACGTCACCACTTAATCATTTGTTTGATAAGCTAAATGGCTTGAGCTCCTTGTGTCTATCACTATAAGGCAGGTTTTTCAATCCTTTAATCATTCTTGTGGTTCTTTGAGCCCTTTCCAATTGTACAGCATCATTCTTCAATTGTGGATACTAGAACGGGACATAGTAGTCAAGTAGCAGTTGCACCAGTAACA